GAACAAAATTGTCTCCTCTGACGAGCATGAACTGTCACAGATGAAATGTTTCACCGTCCGTCAAACACATCATACTGGCTGGCTTTGTCAAACGTGCTTAAAAATGTTATTCGTCGTTTGCGCACATCAAATGAACCTACACCAACAAGACAATTAAAGAAAATACTTATGATATGTATGTGTCTGGAGACACTATCGGTATATTTGTTTTGAAGTTTGGTTACAAATACAAATGCCTGACTAACCGAATGCTGACACATTGTGAGCAGGTAGATATCATTTCTCTGAAAGCCAGATACATGTATATCATAGCTATTCAAAATGAAAGGGAAGAGCTGTCTGACTAGTCTGGTTGGGTGAAAGTAAACAGTGTTCAGGGAGGCTAAACTTGAAATTACCGGAGATATTTTGTGAATCGTTATCAGTGAAAACACTGTAAGTACATTTCCGGATTAAGAAATTGCTTCTGATATATTTTCACGCTATTCAAGACCTCGAGCCACGAGTTAATGCAAATCACACATCATCTTACCAATGGAAGCGTCCAGGTCCTAAGCAGTCGCAAGAAGCCCATTGAGAAGGGGAAGAGACTTAGGGAACGTTCATACTTTATGGCAAGGGGGGGGAGGGGGGATGATGATTGTTATGCAGAAGCATGTACAATGTGAATGACGCCCCCCTAAAATTTGCGTACAGAGTAAGTGACCCCCCCCCCCTAAATCTTAAGCATCGTTTTTACTTATTTTTATGTATAAAATTGCTCATCCCCCTACCTCCCCAGAACAAAATGGGTGACCCCCTCTTAAAATCAACATATCACACACACACACACACACACACACACACACACACACACACACACACACACACACACACACACACACACACACACACACACACACACACACACACACAAACACACACAAACACACACAAACACACACACAAACAAACACACAAACAAACAAACAACAACACGCACGCAGGCACACACACACACACACCATAAATTATGAACGGTCCCTTATATCGTGCTACATGTTGGATCCCATGCAGAATTTCTGCCAGGTTGGGTTCAGGGTACCGCAGTATACACAACATTAGCGTTACCACTGTCGAGATCGTCTTGAAATACCCTGGTAACACGGATAATGGAAAATCTCTAATTTGGGATGACAAACTTCCACCTCTGACACCATAGTACGTGTGGTGTTCTGACATGTACATAAATGAGCTGTCTGCATTATTTGTATTCTTTCTGTCCCGTGAAGATCCGGGTTAGAATTGATCTTCAGTAACCCAGGTTTGTCGTAAAGGGCGGCTAACGGGATAGGGTGGTCAGACTCGCTGACTATCCCAATTGCGTAGATCGATGCTCATAAAGTTTATCACTGGTTTGTTTGGTCCAGACTTGATTATGTGCAGACCGCTGCCATATAGCTGGAATATTGCTAAGTGCAGCGTAAAATTGGTGAAGGGGTAATAATATATCCCCAAACGTAGTGTTCCTAATAATAAAGAAGTTTTCTTCCATACGCCAAGTAGTCAGTCAAGCAGTTAGTTTAAAGGGCCGAGGTACTTCTATATAATCCCAAGACAGAGCTAAGGTAACTTGTCCCCAAAATCGTCAAGCAATAGTTCCACCCTCACAAAGATAACTGATACAGTTAGACGTGCTGTGCATGTGTCTAATTAGGTATCCTTGTATAGCTGTCCAGTTTTAACACTTTGTGCACTGACAGAGTTCATCATGTTCACCTGTGTGATGGTTGACCGGACCAAGCCAGCAAATGCCTTTTCCCGTGAGTTGCGAATTGAAGCGAGAATCTCCTTAATGACCCAATTAGAGAAACTCCCCGTGTGAAGTGACAGGACGACTTGCTGTGAGGCCCGTGACAGCCGCGGCGAGCTCAGACACACCTGAATCTTGAAAGACGAGTTATCGAGGACTTAGTGAACTGCAAAATCGTTTCTGTTCTTTTCTTTATCTCATCTTTCTGTCTCTGCAACACAATCCGTCCCCAGTAATAGTGGACGTCATAAATTTGCATCCGCCTCCATTCGAGACACACATGTGCATTCATAAACCCTTTAAGTCCCCAATGCATTCAGTTATAAGTGCACCGACATATTTCAATGCAGGCTGTTTTATGTTTAGCTTTACAAAACATGGAGATTTTCCATGACACTGTGTTATACAAGACCAATATCAACTCGACTCGTTCGTCTTTTCTGGTTTATGACTCCTTAAGTATGATATTTAGCAACACGGCGTATACGATAATCGGTATACTCGTTCCTCGTCGCGAAGAGGACTCGGGCTCGATTCCCAAATTGGCACACTACACGCCAAAAGAAACGTCACTCTCCTACCTTTATGAATTACTTAGAAACTATCAAAAATATGTTAGAAGCTATTAGTTTACAAATAAGCTTAACAACACAGCTTTATGCAAATCACGAAAAGAAATTCTCAAATGCATTCATATTTAGGCGAAATGCATCTTTTTCAGAAGAGTTAAATTGTCCTATTTTCACCCAAGCCAAAATAAACCAATAACAGTGATTTAGAGGTCCAAAAGAAAGTTTGAAATAAAATTCTGCTTTGGGACAAAGATAAACCATTTAAAGTCACCATTTTTCAATTATTTAAACAAGAAACAACTGTTGTAGAGTGTGTAAAATTATAAAATAACCATTCCTATGATTTTAATATTTTGAAACATTTTCTACTGATTTTCATTAGTGAAAACAAGTAAAACGTGTCTTTGATATTGTGAAAAAATGTTCGGGAACTTCTACAATGATCTTTGTTAACATTTCTGCTTACAGAGTAACATTTTTCCATTTTCTGTTTACATATAGAAATATCAATCGCCAAAACACAGCAATATTCAAGCAGTATTTGCATCCATTTCACATGTAGAATCATTCTATAGGGTATGAAGAGAGCCTAGAAAAGATAATAGGATACACAAGTACGAGAAACATGCCACAGCCTATATGATTAACAGCTGAAGAGAGAGAAAGAGACATTGAGATGGTACAGATAGGGTCGACATACAATGCTGTTACCAACGCCCTCGAATGCCACCGTATCACGGTTATAAGACTTATTCAGGGCTTCAGACAGACTGGAGTCACCCTAGACAGACCAAGAAGTGCTGGGATATTGCTGAATACTGCTAAAAGTGGCGTGCTTTAAATAATTACTCCCTTGATATGCTTACAGTAACTGCTTTAGAACGAAGTCCATGCGTGCCTGAAGATCGTTTTCAGAATGCAGAAAGAACTCACCTATGTTTAATATAACTCAAACCGAAGTCGGTTAGCTTCTTGATCCTGGCGACTTGAGTATACAAGACGGACGTCCTTGCGGTGCCATACGTGATCCAACGGAAATGCCATCAGTCTAATTCTTCATTCAGTACACGTGTAGACCTACGGCCCAAGGTACAATTAAAGGTTGACAAAAGACAGTATAGCCATGAGCGATTCGTTGTGTGGTGCACAAACATGACTGTACAAAAATTCGAGTATTGTGAAATGGACATGAAACTTCACTGGAATATACTGTTGGCGAGGGTTATCGTATGATTACAAATAAACAAGACATTTATCAAAGACTTTCAAACATAAAACAGAACCTTTGTAGCAATATATTTGATACATGTTTGCTTCAATGGAATTTGTGTGTAGCTATTATCCTCAGGTATTATAAGACGACAGATATTCCAACGGACAGTCACACATTCCACCCTTATTGAACACAGCGATTTGTGTTTCATCAAGAGTATCTACTATCAGCTGATTCAAACGCTGGGAATAGAAATCATCAGCAGATCAATCAAATATTCTTAATTCAAACACCCTGACCTTCCAATACTCATCTTATTTTATAGCTTTTAACTATACCACCATTTTCCCTAGCACATGTACTGCAGTATATATCTGCTACCTCAAGACCTCCTACAGAAACCAGAAACCCGTGAAGGTCCGAGTAAGAATTTGGAAAATATTTGATGCTCACAACAGCTCTCAACTTCTTTTTAGATTTATTTCTCGCACCATCACTATCACCAACACCATCACCATCACTATCACTATCATCACCACCATCACCATCACCACCATCACTATTATCACCATCACCATCATCATCCCCATCACATCATCACCATCACCACCATCATCATCATCACCATCATCACCATCATCATCATCACCATCATCACCATCACCATCACATCATCACCATCACCATAACATCATCAAATACTTCAAATATCTATAGTGACAGAGCAAGGGTCTCTGCAAGGCTACGTGCGGCGTTTACAGCCGGTAGGACACCCCTGCCCGGGCCGTTTTGAAGCCCCCGTAACCTCAACCCTATTTACGTAAACACCACCAGGTTGGCGACGTACAGTGACGCCTGCACGTCCTTCATTATCCATAAACATATGTCTGATATGGAAAAGACTTCCAAAATTACCCTACCCTGTCTTTATAACATATAAAACTTGCTTAATATAATATTTATAGCGTTATGTTCTAAACAGCTCAAAACTTTAATATGCTTTCGTATATTTGTATATTTTTGTGTTTTGATTGTCTCTCATAATTCTGCAACTCTTTCTGTATTTAAACGTATACTTGTTATAAGACATGATGAGATGAGACTTGAATGATATATATGTGTGTCGTATTTATGGCAAATCTATATGTTGGGTGAGTTCGTTAATCTACATGAGTAGGCGCCATCAACCCAGAGTGCCTTCGACAGCTCCCGACAGCGCCCTCAGCCATGACTGTCGTCACCTGTCAAACGAAATTGGTCTTATTTTCTCACAATACTTTCCATACTACTAGTATATTGCTATCAAGGACCCAACGCCCCAAACATGAATATGGAAGACAAAATACACCGTCATCATTTTGTTATATAATCTCGCCGGTCACGTGATACCCACTGTATCACGTGAGTTGCCGGGTATCGCACCCTGATATTCTTACATCCACCGAGTGCGAAGCACAACGTGCAGGAATATCACATGGAGTGTAGACGAGTAGATATTTGGAATTATTGATCTCGAATTGAACTTAGGTAAGTTACTGAGGCAAGAATAGTTAATCTTTTGATTGCATTTTCGCTATGCTCTCGATGTTCTTAGTATATTTCTTACTTAAGTAGTAATTTATGAATAATGAAGTATATTGCCACGAAAAATTACTAAACCGTCTTTAGGTGGTGTATACGCCACAAGACATATTTTGTAAATAATACAAACGCCCTCATGTAAGCGTCTGTGTCTTCTTAGGTTTAAAGATTCACATATGTTTAAGTTTAAATGTTTACATTTATGCCCAAAAAACATTACCTTATTTCCATTTTGGATTTGAGGAAAACTTTAATCTAAAGCCTATTTATCGCACTTGTACGCTAAACATTTTACACATCCTTTCAAACAAAATTGCCCAACTAATTGCATATTTATTATATTTCCTTTTCCAATGTTGGTACCTGTGGCAGCAGTCGCAGTAGGAGACGTAGCAGTTGCAGTAGGGGCATCAATAGTAGCAGTAGGGCCATCAATAGTAGCAGTGCTACTACTGCTGCTGTACTACTACTACTACTACTACTTACTGTTATTTATTACTACTACAACTGCTGTTATTATTACTACTACTACTACTACTACTACTACTACTACTACTACTACTACTACTACTTACTACTACTACTACTATTATTACTACTACTACTACTACTACTACTTCTACTACTACTACTACTTACTGTGACTACTTACTATCTACTTACTTACTACTACTACTTCTACTACTTACTGCTTCTACAACTTTTATTATTACTACTACTACTACTACTACTACTACTACTACTACTACTACTACTACTACTATTACTACTACTACTACTACTACTACTACTACTACTACTACTACTACTACTACTACTACTACTACTTCTACTACTTCTACTACTACTACTACTACTACTTACTGCTACTACTTACTATTACTACTACTACATTTTATTATTATTACTGCTACTACTACTACTCTACTACTACTACTTTGACTACTTCTTTCCTACTACTACTACTCTAACTACTACCACTACTACTACTATTACTGCTACTATTTCTATTACTACTACTCATTACTAATTACTGCTACTAATACTGACTTATACTACTACTGCTGCTACTTTTATAAGCATACTACTATTACTGCAACTACTTCTATTACTACTAATGTCAAATGCTACTCTTCTATTACTACTACTACTCTACTACTATTTCATTACTACTACTATTACTGCAACTACTCGGGTACTTCTACTACTCTCGAGGTCTCACTGTACTATACTACATAAAGTTTCACTATCAACATTACAAAACCATATATGTTCCTCTACTACTAATATTCTCAAATTTGAGTTTCAGATCGTCAATAATAATACTTAAATAATATCTTCATTACAACAGGTCCTTAATTGTTAAAATTCCATTTTAGCCTCAATGCCTAATAAAAAGTGATTTGGGTTTTGAAATTATCACCATGACAAAAAGCCCCGGGCTTGACATGATTTTGAAAATGAAAGTTGGGCAAGGCCTCAACACTAACTAAATATACAGCTTTGCAGCCTATCGGGCTTACACGACAAAAATTGGCTTGCTACGCGCCTGGTAAATGCGTTCCCGCGATGGGTAGCAGTAAGTTCACAAGCCCAGGGAAAGTGCGTACTCGTACAGAAGGGAAAATTGAATTTGATGATTTTGATAAATGCGCAATTCGCCAGTACATTCAACACTGTTACACAGTAACCAAGACAATGCCAACACTGACAGTTTATCGCTTTACATACCCTCGGCACCTTATTGGTAAAATGGACTGCACCGCTATTCAGATGCACGGGTTCAAATGACAGGTCGGCATTATTCTTAAGTTCGTCCAGGGAGACTATATAAGGGGGAGTGGTCGCTCCTCGGAAAGCCCCTAAGCTGTGCCTCGGCTCGTCACGTGACCAGTGTAGCCAATATGGCGGCAGCGTAGTTTTAAGATTGAGCCCGGTTTATTTTCAACAGCTGATTACATACGCTGAGTGTTGTGACAACTGAAAACCTACATGTAGAAGATAAGTTACCTATTCTGTCACTTCATTTTAAGTCAAATAATTGTTATTAGTGTCAGTATTAGTACAGTAGATTTGTAGTAAAGTTTCAAGTCGGCATGTTGTAGCTCACTGGCTTCAATTCTCAGTACACAGCGAAGAAAGACTAAATTCTATCGCTAAAAACTTCTTTCACATATTCGTTTAATTTTTAGAAGGGAAATATACCTTCAGTTGTTTAGGTGTTTGCAAGTAATAGTGATAGTTTTATAACTAAAATTTTTTGTTAGGGTGTATTTGAGGTGTGTGAAAAACATGACATATCGCCGATCTGCCATTGAAATACTACAGGGCGTTGTTTGAGTGTTTCTAGTTATTGTTCTAAAACATCTTTCACATACACCTTTAATTTTTATGAGGGGAATATACCATCAGGTGAAAGGTGTTTGCAAGTAATAGTGATAGTTTTATAACTAAAAAAAATTTGTTAGGGTGTATTTGAGGTGTGTGAAAAACATGACATATCGCCGATCTGCCATTGAAATACTACAGGGCGTTGTTTGAGTGTTTCTAGTTATTGTTCTAAAACATCTTTCACATACACCTTTAATTTTTATGAGGGGAATATACCATCAGGTGAAAGGTGTTTGCAAGTAATAGTGATAGTTTTATAACTAAAATTTTTTGTTAGGGTGTATTTGAGGTGTGTGAAAAACATGACATATCGCCGATCTGCCATTGAAATACTACAGGGCGTTGTTTGAGTGTTTCTAGTTATTGTTCTAAAACATCTTTCACATACACCTTTAATTTTTATGAGGGGAATATACCATCAGGTGAAAGGTGTTTGCAAGTAATAGTGATAGTTTTATAACTAAAAAAAATTTGTTAGGGTGTATTTGAGGTGTGTGAAAAACATGACATATCGCCGATCTGCCATTGAAATACTACAGGGCGTTGTTTGAGTGTTTCTAGTTATTGTTCTAAAACATCTTCACATACACCTTTAATTTTTATGAGGGGAATATACCATCAGGTGAAAGGTGTTTGCAAGTAATAGTGATAGTTTTATAACTAAAAAATTTTGTTAGGTGTATTTGAGGTGTGTGAAAAAACATGACATATCGCCGATCTGCCATTGAAATACTACAGGGCGTTGTTTGAGTGTTTCTAGTTATTGTTCTAAAACATCTTTCACATACACCTTTAATTTTTATGAGGGGAATATACCATCAGGTGAAAGGTGTTTGCAAGTAATAGTGATAGTTTTATAACTAAAAAATTTTGTTAGGGTGTATTTGAGGTGTGTGAAAACATGACATATCGCCGATCTGCCATTGAAATACTACAGGGCGTTGTTTGAGTGTTTCTAGTTATTGTTCTAAAACATCTTTCACATACACCTTTAATTTTTATGAGGGGAATATAACATCAGGTGAAAGGTGTTTGCAAGTAATAGTGATAGTTTTATAACTAAAAAAAATTTGTTAGGGTGTATTTGAGGTGTGTGAAAAACATGACATATCGCCGATCTGCCATTGAAATACTACAGGGCGTTGTTTGAGTGTTTCTAGTTATTGTTCTAAAACATCTTTCACATACACCTTTAATTTTTATGAGGGGAATATACCATCAGGTGAAAGGTGTTTGCAAGTAATAGTGATAGTTTTATAACTAAAAAAAATTGTTAGGGTGTATTTGAGGTGTGTGAAAAACATGACATATCGCCGATCTGCCATTGAAATACTACAGGGCCTTGTCTGAGTGTTTCTAGTTATTGTTCTAAAACATCTTTCACATACACCTTTAATTTTTATGAGGGGAATATACCATCAGGTGAAAGGTGTTTGCAAGTAATAGTGATAGTTTTATAACTAAAAAAAAAAAAATTTTGTTAGGGTGTATTTGAGGTGTGTGAAAACATGACATATCGCCGATCTGCCATTGAAATACTACAGGGCGTTGTTTGAGTGTTTCTAGTTATTGTTCTAAAACATCTTTCACATACACCTTTAATTTTTATGAGGGGAATATACCATCAGGTGAAAGGTGTTTGCAAGTAATAGTGATAGTTTTATAACTAAAAAAAATTTGTTAGGGTGTATTTGAGGTGTGTGAAAAACATGACATATCGCCGATCTGCCATTGAAATACTACAGGGCGTTGTTTGAGTGTTTCTAGTTATTGTTCTGAAACATCTTTCACATACACCTTTAATTTTTATGAGGGGAATATACCATCAGGTGAAAGGTGTTTGCAAGTAACAGTGATAGTTTTATAACTAAAAAAATTTTGTTAGGGTGTATTTGAGGTGTGTGAAAACATGACATATCGCCGATCTGCCATTGAAATACTACAGGGCGTTGTTTGAGTGTTTCTAGTTATTGTTCTAAAACATCTTTCACATACACCTTTAATTTTTATGAGGGGAATATACCATCAGGTGAAAGGTGTTTGCAAGTAATAGTGATAGTTTTATAACTAAAAAAAATTTGTTAGGGTGTATTTGAGGTGTGTGAAAAACATGACATATCGCCGATCTGCCATTGAAATACTACAGGGCGTTGTTTGAGTGTTTCTAGTTATTGTTCTAAAACATCTTTCACATACACCTTTAATTTTTATGAGGGGAATATACCATCAGGTGAAAGGTGTTTGCAAGTAATAGTGTGTAAATCTGGCCATTATTTTCATGTGTTTTCTAGCATGTGTAACGTATGTAAATGCTGTGATTGTAGGACATGCATTTCAATACCTTTGAAATCTCGTATGACCAGGGTTAGGTTTGTCATATATTTAGTACACGCGTAAATGGTTGGTAATGGGTAAAGATTAACACTACTTTAACATGTATTTCAATGGTTCTGTAATGTAACTGTCACATCGGGTTCGTTAGCGCGTCGGACCACGCCATAATGCACGGAGATCATTAGAAACACATGGCGAAGTTATACCCATGACTGAGCACC